CAGTAAACAATGTGAATTTTCCTTCCTCTTACTACTCACCTTGTATCCTGTTACCTTTTTGGGTAAATTTCTTTCAAGTAAAAACATCTGATATATTTTATAGATTCATATTTATTTCCCACCGATTCAAATACAATTATATTGAACAAACTTTTATGCATATAATTATTTCATGGTTCAGTAAATTGTGTACAATTTTATTTCGATATTCCATCGATGATACAAAAACTCAACATCTGAATCACTTGTGAATCTTCTTATGGGTGTAGAGATGTCCTTTTTGCACAAATCGTTTCGAACATTTGTTACATCGGAAAGGTTTTTCGCCAGTGTGGATTCGCATGTGTTTCATCAAATGTCCTTTATGATCAGTTGTATATGTCTTGCACAGAACGCATTTGTATCCGCGTCGCTTGCAATTGGCTTCGTGATTTTCTTTTTCCATTTGTTGCGCAAAGATCTTGAAGCAAGTTGAACACTTGTATTTCAACGGACGAGGATTGGTGTGAGATTTGAGGTGGACTTTCAAATGATTTGCTTGAGTAAATTTCTTCAAGCAATGGTCACATTCGAATGGTCTTTCGCCAGTATGCACACGCATATGATTTTCCAAATTCGTCTTGTACACAGTAGAATATTCCTTGCACAGATGACACTCGTAGCGACGCACCTTACAACCAGATTCATGTTCCACCTTCTCCTCGCTTCGATGAAATCCTTGAAAACAAGTTGAACAACTGAACAGAAATTCATTGACGTGTGCTTTCATATGTGATTGCAAATGTGGTTTTTGTGTGAATCGTTTTGAACAAATTGTGCATGGGAATGGTCGTTCGCCAGTGTGCTTAAGCATATGTCGATTCAAATTAGTTGTTTTGAACGTGACATACTCGCACAATGAACACTTGTATCGTTTTCCAGTTGCTTTGCATTCAGGTGGCTTCTTCATGTCACGAGCACAGTTTTCTTTGTTCTTCTTGCCAACTTTTCCAGCACCACCATTCGATAGACGCTTCATCGGACTTTCCTGTTGAATCTTAACCTTTACTTCAGCCAAATCAAAGCACACATCTTTTCCATTCATTTGCTCCTCGCCAATCTCAATATCAAGCACCACACTGTTGACCGTGCGTGGTCGTCTCGACACCGTCACAATGCCGTCGTCATTTTCTGGCTCTTGTTTGACCGTCGGCTCCTGTTTTATTTCCATTTCACAGAAAATCAGATCATCATGGAATGCGTTGTTATTTGGCTTGTGCCCATCAGGCGGCTCTGTATCGTGACCATCCATTGTGATGCAACTTCGGTGCTGTCAATTGGAAACCAGAAGAAGTT